CATATACTAAATCGCTTAGTACACTCGCGTTTCTAAATTTTCATTTTGTGACCTCGACTGCGTCTCGGTCACAAAATGAAAATTTAGAAACGCTCGTGTACTAAGCTATATTGTGAAACATTGTGAAACACAGTGATCAAGGTCGTATGTGACCGAAAGTTTTGTGTATTTAAAAGTAATTTAAAAATAAATATCGTTTGGTAATCTTAGGTTTCCTGAGTTGTCGTTATCCAATGCAATATGTTACGAGGCTGTCTGTGGTGGTTGACACCTACTTTGGCTAGCCGGCGGGACACGCACTTGTTGATCTCACCTAACATGACCCGACCTTCGCCAAATGCTAAAAACGGATTCAATTCAGCGCAAAACTATAAGCCAGATATCATTGAAAAATTTGAAGTTTGTTTTTCAAGTTTTTTTTTCTGTCTGGTGTATCAATATGATGAAGGTGCAATCTAATATTGGGTAATATTGCATGGGTCAGGTGGCCTACCTTTTCTCTATTTTATTTTCTTAGTTAAAAAAATCATCGTATCAGGGCTATGACGAAAAACAAGTGGCCTAAATCCGATGAGAAACTGGATTTGGGGGTACCCTAGGTTTAGCGGAGACACTAGGGCGATGGGCGAAGAGCAGACCGTCCCTCCCCCCCCCCTCCCCAACCAAAAGTCCGTGGCAGAGCCCTTGCCAATAAACACACCACAACCACGTGTGTCATAATGCTGAGCGATGGCGTTCACTCGGCTTGCTCCTAACTCACGATAACTCTCCCGCTAGATGGCAGGCCTGATCCCAATGTCGCGGATCCAAATGTTAATTTCAGTGAGACTGAAGGGAACACGATTACTCTCAAATCCGACATTTTTGCGCCCCCATGCAACACGATGCGCTCAAATCCGACAGCGCTATGAATCGACTGTCGGGGCGAAATTGCACATGGAGATTGCGCTGTTTCTGGACATTTGATAAAAACGTGATTTTATCGAAAACCAATGCCAAAGTATACGTGAAAATGGCATAAAACGGGTAAATGAGGTAGGCCGATTCATTATGTATGACTTTGATTCGACAATTAAGTAAGCTTTCTGCAAAATGCGCTGTTTTGTAAATGACTGCTGAATTGCTCCACAACTCGACTTTTGGATGTAATTTTGCGCCAAGATCCGACCCTTTCGAATCAGTGCTTAGTGGTCGTGAAAAATTTCATTTGACTTGTATTTCTTTAAAAATGAACGTATAAAGGAATGTTAAAAACAGAAATGTACAGTTTTTTGCGCTCTTTAATGTGATGTGCGTTTATAACCAATTGGTATTATGTAAAATCCATTATTTGCAAAAATAAATTTCGAGGAACGACTTGGCCTTCACGGTCAAGTGAGATCTATAGTAAGTAACTAGGCATTCATCACGAAATCATGACTTTTCAATTTCTTAAAAACTGTTCCAAACAAAAATCGAAGTGTTGGAACTTGTTAATTGCAGTGCAAGGATCACGATTATAGTATTTTTATCTTTGGCCGTTCGATATGTTCGCCAATATCTTTGATTTTAAATATTTCACAAGTCAACGACGAGCGCAATATTCAATTTTTGCGCCAGGGCAGAACACCAGCATGTCAATTGCAGGCGCATTGCGCTATTTTTTGACGACTGGCTGGCGGATCTGGGCGCACTGGACATATGCGCTTCAAATCAACTCCCGATGAAGGGAAAACTTCAATTTGGCAACACCAGCATGTCAATTCCAGGCGCATTGCGCTATTTTTTGACAACTGGCTTGCGGATTTGGGCGCACTGGACATAATGCCAGGGGCGGTCGCAGACTTGGCGTTTGGGGGGGGGGGGCAACTTGGAAAAGGGGCCCCTGCACTGACCTGGGGGACCCGGTGCTAGCTTAAAGGGGCCCACGGGCGTAGTGCATGGGGGCAGAAATCTAGCCATGGGCGGTGAAGGGGGGGGGGGGATAGGGAGCGGCATCCGAGCGGAGGCTCATTGCCAGCTTTGAAGTTCATTTTGAAGCATAGGTGTAATGTCAATAATTCACGCAACTGTGAATTGACTACCGGCTACCGCAAAAAGTAAAACCGGCTAACTTAGCCATTTTCGAAGATATCGTGCTAAAACTTTTGGCAGTGGGTCATCGGTATGTGTTCAATCACATGAGTTCCGTTTCTTATTTTTTACTTGAGCACAAATGTAAGTTATGAAGACCATCACAGTAGCAAATGCATCGAAAGATGGATAGTAGTGGGCAAAATATCCTTAATTTGTCGTGCTGCATCGAAAGTAGTGTTGATGAGAAAAGAGGGTTTTATTCCAGATTATCGTGGGTGCAGAATACATTGTCTGCACCCACTGGAGAATTATTGTTGGTGCAACTGCACCGTCTGCACCCACTGCACCCATGGCTCCTACACTTATAGGCCCATGGATAACGCTTCGACGATACCTATCGCATAGAGGCTGCAATGTGGCCCTTAGAGTACAGTGTCAGACCCCCAGAGGCCGGATTTGGACCCAAGGGTCAGCGAAGGGCCTCAAAGGCCCCAGAGGCTGATGTGGGCCCTCAGAGGCAAGTGCGTGACGCCCAAAGGAAAGTCTTTGGCCCCCCATAGAACATAATAGGGCCATCAGTTGCTGGTGTAGAGACCTCATAGGCCAGTTGGGGGCATATAGAGGCCAGTTTTGGGCACCTCAGAGGCTAGTGTGGGGCCTCAGATGTCGGTGTGAGGCCCTTAAAGACCGGTATGGGTCCTCAGAAGCCGGCATCGATCCTTCAGAAGCCAGTACGGGGCCCTCAGAGGCACATAAGGGTCAGTTTGGGTCCCAGAGACAGAAATGGGACCATCAGAGGCCGGTGTGGAGCCTTTAGAGGCTGGTTTGGGCCCTTAGAGGCCAGTTTAGGGCCATCAGACACCAGTACAGGGCCTGCAAAGGGCAGTTTGAGACCATCAGAGAACCGACTTGGGCACTCAGATGCTAAGGTGGGTCCTTACAGGCCAGCATGGGCCCTCAGAGGTTAGCGTGGGGCCCTAAAAGACCGGCATGGGTCGGCGTTGGACCCCAGAGGCAGCCTCAAAGGCCAAAGATGGGCCCTCAAAGGTGATGCGGGCCCTTGGAGGCTGGTATTGGGTCTTCAGAATCCAGTGCGGGGGCCTCAGAGGCTAATGTGGGTCCTTACAGGCTAGCATGGGCCCTTAGAGGTCAGTGTGGGGCCCTAAAAGACCGGCATAGGCCGGCGTTGGACCCCAGAGACCAGCGGAGGGCCCTCAAAGACCAAGAGGAGCCCTCAGAGGTCGATCCGGGCTCTTAGTGTCCGACATCGGGTCTTCAGAATCCAGTGCGGGGCCCTCAAGAGGCAATTAAAGGCTAGTCTTGAGACATAAATGAGGCCACCAGAGCCTGTGTAAGGCCCTCAGCCGCCGGTTGGGCCCCTGAGACCGGTTTAAGGGCCCTCAAAGGCCAGTGGAGGGCCCCCAGAGGTCACCGTGGGTCCTCAGAGGTCAATGTGGGCGCTTGACCGCCACTGAAGGGCCCTCAGAGGTCAGTGTAGGAACCTCAAAGACCGGTATGGGATCTGCTAATATGTAGCTGGCGTGGGTTTCTCGAGCCTCGTGACAATCGAATACGGGCCAGGGCCCCATACGCCCATGGGGGCCCATCGGTTGTTTGGGGGGGGGGGGCAAATGATATGATGGCCCCCTGATTTGCCTTTGGGAGGGCATGGCCCTGATGCCCCCCCCCCCCCTGCGACCGCCACTGCACCAATCTGAGGCTGTTGACAAAGCTGACATCTGGCGAGCAGGCTGAAAACCAAAACTTTAGTCCAGACAAAGCGCGCCCTTGAAGAAGTGCGCCTAAAGCGGTCAAAAGGTGTCGTCTGCCGGCGCAATCGTTGAATTTAGAGTGCGCTCACGTCACGTATAATGGCTGAATGCCAAATCGTTTCCAGACAAAAATATTCGATCTTTTGAGTTGTTTCTTGTTGGACATGAGATTTAGAATATTTATAGAGGTTGTGTCAAAGCGGTGAATGGCAAAAACGGTTCTAAGCACCTTAAAAGCCTTTGTAGATTCAGTACTTTTTAAGCGCACCATGTTGTGTATCGGCGCAGTGAAAAGTCACGTGACCCGACCTGGTCACGTGACTGCGCTTAAAACCGAAATCGTGATCAGGGGAGTGTCATGTCTTAATAGTTAATACCCAGGTAAATGCTTATTTGAAATTGTTTTAACGGACTTTCACTGGGTAGTGGGTAAAAGTTATTATTGGTCCCGGTACTCCGACTTATATTGAAAAGTCTTCGATGGGGCACACATAGGTTTAAAACAGACAAAAATCAGGTAGCCATTTTTCGCAACACATCAATCAAATTTCTAAATATCCAGCATGTCATGCACAACTTACCTATTCTCATATGTAAAACACAGCCAATAGGTACACTTCCTCTTTCAAAGAAAAACTACTGTTTTAGAGCACTGTCCCATATGGGGCTAAGCGAGAATTTACCCACGCCCTGGTTAGAATTTACCCACACCGGCTACAGTGTGGGCGGCAGTTCGACCCGAGGCAGGCCAGCACTGCAGCTGTGGAGCCGACATGGGGTCGCCGTGTGGTTAGAGAAGCGATCGAAATTCGAGTGTGCAATCCGTCTTTAAACCAGGGCGTGGGTAAATTCTCGAAAAGAAATTGATGGAAAGAAATTGGAAAGATGGAAAGAAATTGATTTACCATGAAACAAATGTATTATTTTAGCAATTAAAAAGACCGAAATACAGAATGAGCTTTCGCTGCTAACGCATCATCAGTTTCTCAGAATCTGATGATGCCTTAGCGGCGAAAGCTCGACCTTAGCTCGACGGCCAGGGGCTTAGCTCGACCTTAGCACGAGCTTTCGACCTTAGCTCAAAAGCTCGACGGCAAAAGCTCGGACCGGCTCGACCAGGGCCGGGGGTTGCAGCTCACCTTAGCTCGACCAGGGTCAGGGGTTCCAGCTCACCTTGTCACACAGGTAGATGGTTTCATCGCCCATCGGGTCCACCTGAGGACTGTCGATGCTCAGATGAACCACCATTTTCTGCAGGCCCTGGCGGAAGGTGCGCTCAGCAGCTGACTTGCCCACGTACTCCTGAGTCACGACCAGGGCACACCGTCAGAGGGACAGGGCGATAGGGCCTCCTTATCTGTTCATGCGGCATCATGGAAGGATCGCCATCAGGTTAAAGGGACTATCCCACCTTTAACATGGGGTTTGAGTTGAGATAGCCAAGTTTGCGGCGAGGTTCAGAAACCACTATCTATCTAGGTTGCAGCCCCCGCGGCCTCTTGGTGTTGAAGAAATTCGTTCCCTTCATTTGAAAATGGGCCTTGTACTTACAAGGCCCTATCTTCAACATGGAGCGACCGTTAGTGTGACGTCACCTTGTTTAGTCATTCTGATTTAAATGGGTTTGTTCGTTGAAAAATCGCTTAAAACTTGGTCTGAGCTTTGTTGTGGTGCCTACAGAGTAAAAAGAATCAGCTTTATGACAGTAATGTGGCCTGGGGAAGGAGGTAATTTTGGGCTGTGACGTCACATATTTGAAAGTTTGTGTTTGGAATATGGGAAGCCTAAGATGTTTAATGAAAAATAAATGCCAGAACCGTGTTCCTGGTCATCCAATCTATAAAGTCGGGCACAATTTATCTGGTTTTAACAACATTTTAGAAGGTGGGATAGTCCCTTTAACCCGCGCCCTGCTGGGGGGGGGGGGGTGTTTGAACACCCCCTGTGGTTTTTCGCGAATATCTCACGCCGCCGTTTTTGGTACACCTTATCATACATCAATTCTACACATGTTGTGAAAATTTCAGACCAAGGTCATTCAAAGTCAGGTCACCAGGTCACTTGAAGTGACCTCACCTCATAAAAAGTTTCAATGTCTGTCATAGCTACACCGAGTGACCGATCGCTTTGAAACTTTCAGCAATCGCTAAGAGCAATAGCATGTACAAAATGTATATCTCAGAATTTTGATATCGATGACCTAAAGTCAGGTCAATTTTGCGACCAATTTTGCGTTGGATATCAAGTGCGCTGCTTATCATATACTGATGACGATGCCGTTTTCTGGTGCCAAGCCAGCTAGAACCTCTTTGTCACACTACCCGACCAGATTTTTGCTGCTGAGGTCATTTCAGGTCAAGTTAGGTCAAGGTCAATGGTATGTGTTTGTATGTCTGTGTGTCTGTGTGTATACTGATATGTGCAACGAGTGTTTATGTGTCCATGTTACATGAAATCATGATCTGAGAAGCTTTTACCAAAAATGCAGTCAAAAAACTTCACGAAAAGTAAATTCAGCTTGCCTAAAGCGCAATTATTTTAGATGACCTAGGTTGACCTTGACCCTGACCTTGACCTCTGTACATCGTCGAACAACATATTCCATGATAGGTGGGAGGTAAGACTGGCAAAAAAGGCCGAAAGCAAGGTGTCAAAAGCTCACAAGGCCCATAGCCAACGCAAGATGTTGAGAATTGGTCATTTGGGTCTTGACATGACCTGAAAAACAAGGTCATATCTCCGAAACCAAAAACCACAGAAACTTGAAATTTTCAGTCGACATCAAGAAAGGATAGAGGAGCAGCTGTACGAAAAATCTGGCTTATAGCTCTAAAAATGTTGAGTGCAGAGCAGAAAAACTGCCTGAGGGTGGCAACCAGCCCCCCCCCCCATGTGGGGGCGAGGGTTAACTTCGGCTCAACCGATGTCGTCACAGGTCAGGTTAAAAATCACATTTTCTCCGTTTACAGGCATTTCAAGAAACGTGTTGTAAAATCGAGTAAAAGGCATGCTAACTCATCAACGCCGAGTGGCGACTATAGCTGCCAGCTACAAAAAGCTACTGCTGAAGGCCATGGGTGAAACTTTGACATCACCATTGGGGTCCCAAACGTCCAAGGGGGCCTCCATTTAGTGGGGGCCTCCAAGCAATTAGGGGCCTCCAATTGCGGAAGCGGTAATTTACGAACCACGCCAGGGCCTCCTCTAAGAAATTTTCACTGGGGGACCAGAGGCTCAGAAGCCAAACCTAGGGTACCCCCAAATCCAGTTTTCTCATTGCATTTAGGCCACTTATTTTTCGTCACAGCCCGGATGACATGATTTTTTTTTTAATATTAATCAAGAAAGGGTAGGTCACCTGACCTTACTCATGGATCCAGGCCAGCAGGATGACATTGTATGTAAATATCCCCCGCGTCGACCGAAATCGACGAAAATTTCTGGCTTTTTCACTTTCGACAATAAAACAAAAAGCCTTTATTATAAAAAAAGAATTTAACGGCACAGCATTGCGCAAGGAATCTAACCGACCCCAGAAAGTGTGAGGGCTAACCCTCGCCCGCACCTGGGAGGAGGGTTGTCACCCCAAATTAGTTTTTTTGCTCTACACTGAACATTTTTTAAGCTAGAAATCTGATTTTTGGATAGCTGCTTTTCTATCTTTTCTCAGCGTCCATTGAAAATTTCAAGTTTCTGTGGCTTTTGGGTTTGGAGATATGATCTTGTTCTTCAGGTCATGTCATGACCTATATGACGGATACCCAATATCCTGCGTTTGCTATGGGCCTTGTGAGCTTTTGACACCTTGATGTCGTTTTTTTTGCCAATCTTACCTCCCACCTATCATTGAACATGTTGTTCTGCCGTCTGCGATGTACAGATGTCAGGGTCAGGGTACATCAGTACATACACAGACATACACAGACATACAAACACATATCATTGACCTTGACCTAACTTGACGTGAAATGACCACAACCAGCAAATTAGTCGGATAGTGTGACAAAGAGCTGTTCTAGCTGGCTTGGCACCAATTCGGCAGCGTCATCGGTATATGATGGGTTGGCCCGCTGCTTGTGTAGGTATTTTATTCGACATCACCACAATTTATTCAAACAAAATTTTAAGCTTCGCAGTCAAGAGCAACATATTTTTTGGGAAGAGACGAATCCAATGATACCAAATTTTACCTCATCAGGCAGTCATTGACCTTCCAGCTCAGGTCAAACTAAAGAACGTTGCTGTTTGGGGTCACCGTTGCCCGTTGGAATATCACGTGCGCTGCTCATCATATACCGATGACGCTGCCGTATTGTGGTGCCAAGCCAGCTAGAACCTCTTTGTCACACTATCCGACTAGGTTTTTGCTGACTCTGGTCATTTCAGGTCAAGTAAGGTCAAGGTCAATGATATGTGTTTGTATGTCTGTGTGTGTCTGTGTGTATACTGATGTGTGCACCGATTATGAACTTGTCCCTATAGCATGAGATCATGAACTGAGAAGCTTTTACCAAATATACAGTCAAAGAAACTTCACGAAAGTAAATTCAGCTCGCCTAAAACGCAAAATTTTTAGATGACCGAGGCTGACCTTGGCCCTGACCCTAGCGTCTCTACATCATCGAACAACATGTTCCATGATAGGTGGGAGGTAAGACTGACAAAAAAGGCCGAAATCAAGATGTCAAAAGCTCATAAGACCCATAGCCAACGCAAGATATTGGGTATTTGTCACTTGGGTTATGACATCACCTGAAGAATAAGGTCATATCTCCGAAACCAAAACCACAGAAACTTGGAATTTTCAATGGACGCTAAGAAAGGATAGAGAAGCAGCTATAGCTATACGAAACATCCGGCTTCTAGCAATCAAAATGTTGAGTGCAGAGCAGAAAAAACCTGGGGAGGGGTGGCAACCACTGCCCTCCATGTGCGGGCGAGGATTAAATAATTTGAATATCAGGAAAACAATTTATTCAAACAGGTATTCCAACAGAGTCCCGCTTTTTTATAGGTGACCTCCGATTTGTGTACCTAGCCTCTAAGTTGCCCAGGGGGCCTCTTATTTGTAGGTACATACAGTACAGAGAGCCTCCTACTTCGACTACTTGCACAGAGAGCCTCCTTTTTGTACATACAGCTAAGCTTCTACAGGTCGAGCGCCGGCCCCCTATTTGTACGTACAGAGAGCCTCCTACTGTTACAGAGGGCCTCCTATTTGTCTAGGGGGCCTCCTATAGGTTAATGGCGCCTCCTATTTGTCCAAGTGGCCTCCTATTCGTCTAGGGGGCCTCATATTTGTCCAGGAGGCCTCCTGTTTGTCCAGAAGGTCCCCTATTTATCCAGGGGGCTTCTATTTTCCAGGGGGCCTCCTCTTTATCCAGGGGGCCTCCTACGTGTTCAGGGGCCTCCTATTTGTCCAGGGGCCCTCCTATTTATCCAGGGGTCTTCTATTCGACCAGGGGTCTCATAATTGTGCAGGGGCCTCTTATTTGTCCAGAGGTCTCCTACTTGGGCCTCCTTTTTTGAAGGGCCTCCTTTTTGTTAAGAGAGCCTTCTAATTGTTCAGGGGCCTCCTATTCGTACAGAGGGCCTCTAGCTCCTACTTGTCCATGGGGGCTCCTATTTGTTCAAGAGGGCCTCAAGAGGCTTATTTGTACAGGGGGCCTCCTATTTGTCCAGGGGGCCTCCTATTTGTCCAAGCGGCTGTTATTTTCCTAGGGGGCCTCCTATTTGCCCAAGAGCCCTCCTATTTGTCCAGCGGGCCTCCTACTTGTTCAGGGGGCCTCCTATTTGTCCAGGGGGCCTCCTATTGGTTAAAGTAGCCTGCTATTTATCCAGAGGGCTCCTATTTTTAGGGGGCCTCCTCTTTATCCAGGGGGCCTCCTTCTTGTTCAGAGGGCCTCCTATTTATCCAGGGGCCTTCTATTCGTCCAGGGGGCCTCCTATTTGTCCAGGGGGCCTCCTAATTGTCCAGGGGGCCTCCTTTTGTGAAAGGGGCCTCCTGTTTGTCCAGGGGGCTCCTAATTGGCCAGGGGGCCTCCTTTTGTGAAAGGGGCCTCCTGTTTGTCTAGGTCTAGGGCCTCCTATTTGTACAGGCCCAGGGGGCCTCCTATTCGTACAGAGGGGGCCTCCTATGTCCAATACTTGTCCATGGGGCCTCCTACTTGTTTAGGGGGCCTCCTACTTGCTCAGGGGGCCTCCTATTTGTCCAGGGAGCCTCCCATTTGTCCAACAGGGCCTCCGAATTGTCCAAGGGCCCTCCTATTTATACAGAGAACCTTCTATATGAACATCGGACCTCCGTTTGTAAAGTAGCTGGTGCGTCTCGGGGGCCTCCACTATTGGGGTCCCAAAATGACAATTGGGGTCCCAAATGTTCGCACTGGGGTCCCACATGGGACCTCGAAAGTATACAAAGTTACACCCATGCTGAAGGCAAGGTAATAACTTAAGCACAGCATTTGTGGGATGCCTAATCAGCATAGTCCCTTCTTATCATGATCAGACGGTAGTGGCGGCGCCACGAATTTTCGCCAGTGGGGGCAAGCTTTGAGCTAAAACTTGGCATACCTGACCTTTGATTCAAGCCAGGTCTTTTGACACCAACCGCATTTTCGGGTCAGGTCAGGTCACTGACCTATGACCGATGACGTCATAAGTGAAACTCAACACGGTCTTCAGATGTCGAAACTTCGCAACGCCCTCACTGCCAGAGGGCGTTTCACAGGGAAATGAAACTTGCAGGATCTAGTATCCATTACGAGTCTCACAACTTATACCTATAGGTCTCGGATTATTCTTAATGGTCATATGAGGTCAGATCATTTTCGTGACCTCACCATTATAAGTCAATGGGGGAAAAATGAAAACTGCTATTCTGGCGCCGGGAAGGATCTCCAATCTCAAGCACACAGAATCGTGATTTAATGCACTCCTTGCAAGGTCCGATATGTCACTTTTGCAATGTTGACCTTGCGTGACGTCATTTATGACGTAATCAAGGTCATATTAGTTTTTCGTCAATAACTCCCCATCAAATCCAGCTAGCGAGTCGGGAAAGCCACCAATGGACTCAGGAAGACCTGCCGAATCGAATGATATGCGACATGGCCCCTCTTTCGACCAACATCGTGACCTGGGGGCGCTGACCTGACCGTGACCTGAGGTCAACACCCTAAGTTGACCTGACCCAAACAAAAAGTACATCTATTTTGAATTATATTCTTTTGAATTGGCTACACATGTGTTTCGACAAAATGTCTTTTTCAAGCCTTACATCCCAAATGATAACAATTCAAAAACATTGGCCTAAATACACATTACACAGGTGAATAAGGTCACAAAACAGATAGTAAATTCGTTCGCAGAAACATGTCGCATTCTATGTCGTACCCCTGTTTGCCAGATCCCTTACAAGTAGTTGAGCCGTGTATCTACTCAGTTTCACTTTACCAACATTGCCGTTCAAAGTTAGAAGGGTACAAATAAATGCCGCCTCTAACGCCTGTCTATGTTTCTTTTTTAACCCTTTACACAAAATTGAAGTTCCGTTCCAGTCTGGAAGGTGACCGGCCTCGTCGACATGCTGCACAAATGCATTAGACAATCTATGATTTCTAAAGGCCTGGCTACACTATGCGTTTTCTGCGTGCGTTTTTGCAGGTTTGCGTGTTTTGCGTAATATCGTTCTAGGAAAAAAGTTATAAACAATATAATTTTTACTTTGGTTATATACAAAAGCTAATATAACTCTTATGTAACTAAAATTTAAGGTGAAAAACATCACAAAAACGTAATATCGTTCTTTTTTCTAGAACGATAGAGCTTCTAGAACTTTTTCTAGAACTGTTTTTTCTAGAACCACCAGGGGCGAAACGGCGAGGAGGCCCCCCCCCCCCTCGGCCGGCGCGTATGTAGAAAACCAATAGGTCCGGAGGGGGTTGAGACTCGCATGCGTCTTTGGACCAGGGCTCAATGCAGTGAGTAGTGTACGTGCTGGGTCTGACCTTGTCGGAGCGTAGAAACATGTCCAGGCCGGCCTCGTGGGGGCCGACATCACAGCTCATCTCGGCGCCCCAGGCGCGGAATCCCTTCTCAATGCGAAGAACATCCAGCGCGTGAGTGCCGAAATCGCCCACACCTGAGCAGCAGTCAGCACAAGTCAGCATCCGTAATGACAGTGCAAAGTGTGAGATTATCTAGGCGTTAGATTCACTGTGATAGGTTCTTTGTTATTGTAATCCTCATTGCAGATTTAAAAAGCAAATTCTAGGGTCAAAGTCGGCCAAAACAACAATATGGCCTTTTTTCGACAAAATCTAATTTCGAGTGCAGTATCATCGATCAAGCAGGTGCAGTGCATGACGGTGATCTATGCAGCGTTAACTCCGACTACGGAGTCAGAGTCGGTATCCTAGGTCATTGGTTGACCTTCCAGGTCAGGTCAATGACCCAAAGTCGGGAAAATCGGGACCTGTTAAAAAGTCGTAAACAGTGGCTGCTAAGGGGTTTTTCGGGATGCTGTTCACGAAAATCATGTTAGTTTTGATCATAGATTATGTCTTCGTGCATTTAGACCAGGTCGGGTCAGGTCAGGTCAGGTCAACCAGTAGGGGTCGTGACGGGATTTCGTAGTACGTGTCAACCGCCTCTGACAGCTTTGTAACATGTTACGAAGACACCAAAACTACTTCGTAAATGTTCAAATGGTTGCTAACTTCGAATTCAGCTCCAAAAACTAGCCTAGAAACATGTACAGCTCGAAAAAGTGAGCCGAGGTCACCAAAGGTCAATGACCTGACCTGACCTTCAGGTGACCTTGACATCCACCCAAATGCATGGAAGCAACATTTGGGTATCATCGGCTTCCTCTCGTCACGCGCAACACGCTCGTTTTTTTCGCGAAGCTCTTGCTCGATCAGGGGCCAAACGGCAAGGGGGGTCCAACTGACCCCCCCCCACCTACACATTAGAAGCTGGCAAACGCCGCACACATGCGAGGGTTAACCCTCGCCCTGGCAGGGCATTTTTCATAACACGGCCTGGCGGGGGGGGGTCGATGCAACCCCCTCGCGATTGGCTCCTATGGCACCTAGAAACACCAAATTTGAGAGGTAGGTGGGCCCCCTAGATTTCTCACCCCTGTGCAAATTTGGTTGCTCTAGGTCAATATTTAGGGGGGTTTGGGGGTATAAATGTAAAAATTTCGATAAAAACAGGTCAAAAGTTTTTCGCTTATAACTTTTGATCTAATTAAAATAGAGTAAAAACAAAAGCACCAGTGAACTCAGCACGTCAAGGCGCATCGAATAATATACTTTTAGCCTGCTTAAGTGTACTTAAAGTTTTTCTTAATTATTTAAGTGACCATCCCACCAAAATTGCCTTTTCACAAAACCGGCCCATACCTCCCGGGTCTCCCCTAGTTAGTCACGAGAAATTGCCAAGATTCAGTTCAAGATTTTGGAAAATGCGGAACGATAATCAATAATCGAAGATAGCCAATTCATTGTTCATGGTATTGGCAGTCTAATGGCGTTTACGGCATGTCTGAATGTCTATTCTGTTATTTTATATGATTTTTGAATATATGCCGTTTTGGTCGATAACTCAGAAATCATGACATCACTAAAACCTCGGTATCTCAAAAATTTTCCGACCGATTTTTTTTTGTGAAACTGTCACAATTATCTTCAATCAATTCCCTACAGGTTGCTTAAATTTTGGCACGCCAGGCGCGCCGTTTTTATGCTATTGCCCGGCGAAAAAGGTGGGGGTGTTTAACGCCCCCCAGCAACTCGCGGGCTAAGGGGCTAATGCATTGGGATGCCCCCTTAGAATCAGTGACGTCAGCGGTGATCTAAAGATTTTAAAACCTTATGGTAACATCTTTGTGAAGCAGTGGTGGTATACGAGTATGCTATTTGCGCGCAACATCTGCCGCAAACCCCGCACTTCCAAAATGAAGTTGCTAGAAACAGCGGAGATCCCAAAAAAGTAAACAAAAGTAAAAGTCTAATATCTTGAAAACCGGTGAATATTTTTCGGTGAAATTTGGTAGATATTCGTTTTTGCTCTTTCTGAACCGAGCGACATCACTTTCATGCCAATCCACTAACTTTTTGAAGGTGGGAGCCGAGGGTCCCTTTAAGTAAACTTTAATTAATTAATTAAGTTCAAGTTAACCAAATTGTACAGTATTGCATATCATTCGATTTGGCTGATCACCAGGAACACAATGACACCATTTTTTAAGCTCTAGCGTCATTATGTGCCAAGTTATTGGCAAAACGTCATTTGACCTCAGTTGACCTCATTTGACCTGACCCATGGATAAGTACACCAAACAAAGAAGCACCAAGTGACATGCTGTTACGCACTGTGGTTTCAAAGCTTAAAAGTGAAAGAACGAAGCAGATATCTCCAGTATTTTCCGAATTTAGTATTTTCCCATAGGCTTAACATTACAACGTAATGACCTCTAACTGACCTTAGGTCAGTGAACTCAAAAAACCCGAACTATATGTTATACAACTTGGTGAAGTTAGCACATCCTGAAAGTTTGAAAGGAAATCAGTGCAAACTGTGAGTTAGACAGGTGCATGAAGAAAATTGGAATTAGACCATGACCTTGTACCGGTTTTTCTGACCTTGTGACCTGACCCAAGGTCACCCGGACCTGACATTTTCAGGTCATATGTAAAAAGGTTGCCCCATAGGCTGTGCCAAATTACGCTATCTTCGAAAAACCTTAGGGGGGTCGCATCGACCCCCCCCCCGCCAGGGCGAGGGTTAACCCGCGCGGGGCTGGTGGGTAAATTTTACCCACCCTCGCGAATTTTTGCGATATCTCAAAAACGGCGGCGCGCAGCGCCGCCAGACTTTTAGTACCTTTTCTTACATCAATTTGACACGTTCCCTGAAAATTGGAGCGAAATCCGTCGGAATTGTTTTGAGAAATTGACGTTTTAGTGACGTCATGTTCGCCATGTTCGCCTCAAAAACGGCAAAATTTCAAACGCCGCTAACATCTTCATTTTTAAAGGAATCAAGACGTAACAAAAAAGATTATACGTAATTCTACTTAGTCTATCAAGTAGCTATCTCGGTTGTTTGAAAATTTTGGATTTTGGCCCATTTTTCAAAAAACTGACTTTTTTGGGAAAATAATTATAAAATCCAAAATTTTGAGTGTATCGAAAAAAACGGAATATATGTCAGAGAAGTGGTCTATGTGCACCTATGTACATACCAATTTTTAGAAGAATCGGTTCAAAAATGTGGGAGTTATTCAAAATTTTATGACGTCACGACACACACAATTTTGAAAAATGATTTTTTTGGGAAGTTGTAGACCTCGTACGGAAACAAAAATAGCACCATTCGATTCGCCGTGAAAAACTGCATCAGATAGACACCTTTTTAGGCCTTAACCCGCGCCCGGCTGGGGGTCCTGGATTTCCACGCCCTGCTGGGGGGGGGGTGTTTGAACACCCCCCCTTGTAACTCGGCTCCTGGGCCACGTAGCGATACGCGGAAGGCGGCGTTCGAAAGAGCGTCAAAAATAATGACGAAATCACTTGGTCAATTTTTTGGTCAGGTCAAAGGTCAGGTCACCAGAGGTCATTGAAGGCAAAATGTCGCCGATTTCCAGGTCGAATGTCGAAAATTTCCAAGAAGCAAACGCATAACTCGAGAACCAATAGAGCTACAGCGCCGCGGAAAAGCGCATTCGATAGCCCTATTAAAGCCCTTTCTGAGTAATTCTCTCAGATTTGACCTAACGTCAACGGTTTTGCCTGCAGGGGGCAAAAATTGCAAAAATAGCCGATTTTTTCGGAAACAGTTTTTCTGCAATAACTTTTGACCCAAGCCTTGTACGAGCTTACTTTTACCGGCATTGTGTTCCTCTCGTCAAGACGCATCGAATGAACTATAAGTTGACCTTGAAAGGTCAACTTGAAAATTTGACCTCAGGTCAAGGTCATGACCTGACCGGAAAGGGTCATGTTGCATATCAGTCGATCCGTATCGTCGAGCTGAACACATCTAAGGTGTTTTCATCGCTCTAGCATGCCTCTATCAAAAGTTATTTGCGAAAAACTGTTAGATACCATTCGTGACCTAAGATGACCTCAGGGCATAAACAAGGGTCATGGACACCATTTTCATGTTCAGTGTGTCTAAACCACTTGTAATTCGGTGTTTGGGAGTGTTTATAATGTCTTTTGTCCAAAAGCGGCGCATTTCAATTTTCTCCCATTGACTTATAATGGGGAGGTCGCAAAATTGACCTGACCTTAGGTCATCGATATCAAAATTCTGAGATATACATTTTGTACATGCTATTGCTCTTAGCAATCGCTGAAAGTTTCAAAGCAATCGGTCACTCGGCGTAGCTATGACAGACATTGAAACTTTTTATGAGGTGAGGTCACTTCAAGTGACCTGGTGACCTGACCTTGAATGACCTTGGTCTGAAATTTTCACAACATGTGTAGAATTGATGTGTGATAAGGTGTACCAAAAACGGCGGCGCTCCGCGCCGCCGTTTTTGAGATATTCGCGAAAAACCACAAGGGGGGGTGTTCAAACACCCCCCCCCCCAGCAGGGCGCGGGTTAACAACCAACTTCAAAATTTGACCTCACTTGACCTGACCTTGACCTGACCTCGACCTGAAATTCATCCAGAGGTGGTCCATATCACTTACTGAGTATGCGTATTGAATTCTATGAGTAAAATGACCCATAAAACATGTGTCGCACATGCCCTTTTCTATATTTTGTTTTTGGTGACCTGACCTGACCTGACCTTGACCTTGACCTCTGAATGATATTGTATGCAACGAGGATTGTCTTGGTAGCCTAAAAACACGTTTTTGGCAATCAGTCTCAGTCCATGACTACATTCTTCGGCAACTACGGTGCAAGGCCGATACTGTAGGATTGGAACTTGCAATTTGTACCCTTGACCTGACCTTGGCCTTGACCTCAAACTTTAAATTAAGTACATGTTTTTAGTTTTTCGTGATAAGATCTTTCGATTGGCGTTTGAATTTTCCAAATAGGACCATTAGTTCGGGAGATAACAGGGGGTAAAATTTACCCCCCCAGCCCCGCGCGTTCGGTTGGAGACCCCA